GTTCGGGAGTTCAAATCTCACCAGGCTCAAGGAGGACTCAGCCTTCCATTCTTCCAAGGTGGGTAACATGAGGACCCAAATTGTTGGGGGTCAGATGCTGACTCTGTAAACCACTTAGAGAGGGCTGTAAAAGCACTATGAAGCAGTATATCAGTCTAAGTGCTATTGCTATATAAATTTAATAAATATTTCCTAGATGAACTCTCACTTAACCTGAATCCCTAAAATCTTTACACTGTCCTAGAAAAAAGAGCACTCGGGCCTCCAGTGATAGTGATGGAGCCAAGAAATACCCTAGCTAGCAAGAAAGTCCTGGAGTGCATAACATAATGCATGTCTCTAGTAGGCAAAAATCACAAAATTACATTTCTCATTTACTTTGGCCATGCCATGCATAGGAATTCACTGGAGAAAGCAATGGTGTTTGGAAGAGTTAGTGGTAAAAGGAAACCAGACTGTTGTGGTCCGCCAGCAGCCTACGGATCTGGCTGCAGAGTTGGACAGTGAGGAGGCTGGGGAGAACAATGGGCCAGTCCTGGAGTCAGGAGAAGGCCCAGACGAGGGCTCTATGTCGGAGGCAGAGATGGGGCCAGGGCCATTTGGAAGCGATGCATAGACTCCGGAGCCTCCAGAGGCAGATAGCAGAGAGGCAGAGGAACAGGAGGAACCTGTTCCTAGTGCACGCATGTGAAGAGCTCCAGAAGGCAAGAGCAGCTAAAGCTAAAAGGACGACTAGGGAGTAAGGCCAGGAAATGATTGGCCCCTCCCAGAAAGCTCAAAAGAGCAGCAACAGCTCCTGGGATCTTTGTAGGAAAGCAACGTTGCTACATTTGTTTCTTGTCAGTGCCTCTTGCTTCTGAACTTTTGCCAAGAAAAGCCTTTGGCAGGGTGCCAAAGAAGACAAAGGTTGGTGATAAAGCCAAAGGACTGTTTATAAACAATTTGTTTTGGACTAAGTTGAGAATGAAGTAATCCTCAGCTGTTTTAATAAAATATGTTTGTTTAGGACTGATTGTGTTTGGTAATAACTACTTGGGCATAGGTCACAACACCAGACCACCAAAGAATAGAGTGGCTGGAAACCATCAAAGCTGACACCAGCCCAAGTTTAGAACTCAACTCAAAGAAGTAGTGCAAGATGGGAAAATGTGGAGAGACCAGGCCCATAGAATCGCTGAGAGTCAGACTCAACTGAATAGCAATAGCAATACCGCTTCATAGTGCTTTTACAGCCCTCTCTAAGAGGTTTACAGAGTCAGCATATTGCCCTCAACAATCTGGGTCCTCATTTTACCCATGGTAAAATGGAAGGCTGAGTCAACCTTGAGCCAGTGGGATTTGAACTGCAGCTAGCAGTCAGCTGAAGTAGCTTGCAGTACTGCACTCTAACCACTGCACCACCTCATCATCATCACATTTGTTTAATGGAGGGCAACCTGTACTGAGAAGCTAGCAGCAAGAAGTTCTTGGACAGGACTTTTTGCTAAGCTAGATTTATTACATATAATAAAAAAATGTAGAGATAAATAAATCCATCTCCAGATTCAAACCTCACTGTTTCTGTCTGTGTCCCCATTCTAACTCCAGAGTAGCCATTGCAAAATGAAAGAGCACTAGACTTCAGTGTTTCCTTCCAAGACAAAATCTTTCTTGACTTTCATAGGCTACCTTGCTTTCCCAGTCTGTTTGAAAAGATCCTGGGATTGCAAAGGTGCTGTCTATCAAAGCGAAACTGAATTTTTTCTTTGTTTGTTATCCTTGCAGAGAGATACCTTGAAGTTCATTCAGATGACAGATAGGATGAACATTCTCAAAATCAGCTTAACAAGGGCACCAATATTAGAAGTTGCATCGGCTGATTAGAGGGAAGACCTCAAAACTGAAGTGGTGGTCATGCTTGCTGAATCATGGCCCCTAAGGTCTTGTTGTGTTCATAAAGCTTCAGAATGAAATTCTTTTTCACAAACAGGGATTTGGGAAGCTGTTGGCTATGTTTCTTGGCTTCAGGCGATTTACTGTAGAAAGAACAATCAGTGCAGGTATTTCTCAGAATCTGACCAATGTGGTTAATTAAAAGTTAGTAGGACCCTAAAGGTTACAGTCTAAGATTGAAAATAACTCTCTTCTTCCCTTGTCTTAGAGGAGGCAAGTGAGGATTGTTGGCTGAGATCTCTGAAACTTCTGACCACACAAAATGAGTTGTGGGTTGAAGAAAGAGCTTCAGAAGCATCTGCTCCCTGGACCTGATTCTAAGTACTGAAAGCTTTTCTTTCAGCACTCATTTCTGTCCTAATTAGAAACATACTGCATCACTGATTTTACAATTAATAGGACAATAGTCCCCTAGATGCCTGAGACATTGATAACATCTCAAACGCTATTAATATCAACTTGGTAGAGGACAATCCATGCATTTGTCATATTTTTAAATTATGAATGCCTGTTCCTCAGATGAATTCACTTAATATTGTTTATGGATGTTGATGGGAATTGATTGGTTGCACTCAACAATTTCTTTCCTTTTTCTGATTTGTACCATCCTCTTTCCTTGCAAGTTTGTTGTTTTGTACTTCCATATCGGTGCTGTTTCCTTGGAGCTGTAGTGTTTGAGAACACTGAGATTTTTTTTAATCTACAGGAGTGACATCTGAGAGGGTTGCTGTTGGTTTTCCGAGGGACCTTTCTTCTCACTGGGGTTAAGGATTAAGGCTGCGCATTTGCTGAAGACCAAATCCATTGGCCAATTTGCCAGTTGAGAGATGTAATTGATAGTTTGGCTCTCAATGTTGAGTTAGGGGCCACAGTGGCTCATGTGGTTATGACGCTGAGTTGGAAGTCCATTGAGAGGTCAAAAGCTTGGCAGTTCAAAGCCCAAGAGTGCAAGCCACATGATGGAATGAGCTCCTATCAATTTGCCCTAGCTCCTGTCAACCTAGCAATTCAAAGTATGCAAATGCAAGTAGATAAATAGTACCACTTTGGTTGGAAAATACCAGGTGCCCTCAGGCATCCCTTTGGCAATGGCGATGTCACCTGCTAATCCTTTCAACCCAGAAGTACCTTGGTAGGTGCTTCTGATACGAATGTAGTAGTAGTATTGAGTTTAAAGGCTTGTAGTCTTCTAAGAGTGGCACCAACTTCAAGTACCCTCCAAATCTAAAAACAGGGTGAGAATCCTTCCTTACCTACATTGAAAGTCTTGGCACAGTTGAATAGGGTGAGTGAATGCTTATTAATTATTGGTATCCTAGGGAAAGTCTGTGAATGGAGGAGGAACATGCAAAAAAGCAGAAATATTTTCTCAATGAAGGCCATCATGACTCACCCAAGGAAGAAAATCCCCCAAACCTCAGACTGATTCTCACACACCGCTCGTTTGTTCTCTTTGCAACTGTGCCAAATGCCCATGGCCTCCAGCAGATTGAAGGAGGCAGCCCTTCCAATACCCCCAACCCCTACTTCCCTCTTTTCTCTGCCTCATTTGTCTTTATGGCAACATAAAACGCAGGTCATTAGCTGCTAAGCAGACCCTGTGCTCTACTAAAGGCCGATGCCAGGACCCCATGGCACCGTGCCAGCAAAGGAGCTGGGAGGAAGAGGAGGAAAAGGAATATGTGGGGAAAGAAGTCTAAATTCCACGTACCTCCAAAATTGCAAAGTAGACCTGCCCACCCAAACACAAGATGAAAAGCAGCCTTATTTCTCTGACCTGTCACTCATCCTGTTGTAAATGATTCATTGGTAGCTGGACTGTGTCTTGAACCCTCCCCTCAGTCATCTTAGCCTTCCAGGTGTATCTGATTCATCTCAGACCTTTCTCTTTCCTCCCCCTCAGAAGTCATTCAGGAGCTTCCGCTAATTCCTAATTGATTTCTTAGGGAATCATCACGGCTGCAGATTGAAAATCAAACACAACTTTTGGCAGTGCTGCCATTTTAAATGCATGGATTCACACAAGGCCCATTAAGTTCCGTTTCCCCCCCCCATCCCTTTAGCTCTGCCTTACAGAATCAATTAAGTGAATAGGATTGTATCCTAGGAAGTAAACACTGATTGAAGCCACACAGTTGCCTAGGTGGTTCTGCACTTATCTTTTTTCTACTGGTATTTGGGTTTAATGGTACGCTTGAAGCAAGATTGACTGACACAATCATTTATTCGGTGGCATTTACCTTAGTCTTAGATTAAAAAATCAGACTGTGCCATTAACTCTTTCAACAGAGTTGTCAGCGTCAATATTTTCTTGGTACTTCCAGAATAATAGAGTTGGAAGGTACCTTGGAGGTCTTCTAGTCCAACCCCCTGTTCAAACAGGACACCCTACACCATTTTGGACAAATTGTTGTGCAATCTCTTCTTTAAAACCTCCAGTGATGGAGCACCCACAACTTCTGGAGGCAAACTGTTTCACTGATTAATTGTTCTAACTGTCAGGAAATTTCTCCTTAGTTCTAGGTTGCTTCTCTCCTTGATTAGTTTCCACCCATTGCTTCTTGTTCTACTCTCAGGTGCTTTGGAGAATAGCTTGACTCTCTCTTCTTTGTGGCAGCCCCTGAGATATCAGAACCCTGTTATCATGTCACCCCTAGTCCTTCTTTTCATTAAACTAGACATACTCAGTTCCAGCAACTGTTCTTCATATGTTTAAGCCTCCAATCATCCCCTAATAATCTTTGTTGATCTTCTCTGCACTCTTTCTACAGTCTCAACATCTTTTTTATATTGTGTTGACGAAAACTGGATGCAATATTCTAAGTGTGGTATTACCAAGCACTATAGAGTAGTATTAACACTTCATGTGATCTTGATTCTATCCCTCTGTTAATGCAGCCTAGAACTGTGTTGGCATTCCTGCCTTTCTGAGTGAGTGTCTGTAGGAGGAAGTCATGTGATGACACCTCAATGACATCATTGGGCAAATGATGTGAATTGTGTAGTTTGCCTTATCTGTGTGATGACACAAATCTAGCAAATGCCTTTGAACAAGATTGAACAGATGAGTCAAAATGCCAGAGGACAACCTCTTTTAAGGGAAAAAAAATGGGACAACTTTGATTCATGACAAATTCAAAGACCTCAAAGTCCTAAAACTGACCAGGTAGGTTATAAAGATTTGCCCAGTCATTCCTAATCCTCTTACTTTCAAATCGTTTGGACTTGCCTAGACTTCAGTAGTTCAGTGATAGTCATAGTTCCTCTTATATAGCCTAGATTCGGAGTATATAGATTGTGCTCAATCATTCAGTGGTTTATCTCTGATTGTTGAATGAACCATCTATTGTAGTTTACGAACCATGATTTATAGTAAAACCCAGAAGCTTCATCACTAGATGCTTGGTATGAAAAGCTAGAGAAAATTGTTGCCATGGAAAATGAACTTATAAAAAGTGGGAGATGTTGGGATACACCACACCAGTTATTTTTGATTTAGTTTGGAGAAATATAATCCTTTTTGCTAGGTTTAATAGGTCGATTTCCTCTTTTTGTTTGTCTCAGTAGATATCAGAGTTGCAACTCGTATCGTGACTTGGTTTTGGATCTTTTGAATATGTTGCTGGCTTTTAAACCAATCAAGAAATTGGATTTTGGAAATAAGGATTTGCCCATGACTTCTAGGTGAGGCCAATTTTATCAGAGTCTATTATATTAAGGTCCATAAAACCTGTATTGTCCTCACCGGGTTTTTAAAGACTGTTTTCCTTGGCTCCTTCTTCCTAATGGAAGGAACCAATCTTTTGAAAGCACATATTTCAGTCCTTCAGCTACTTCTCAATAACCATCACGTCCACTAGGAATCTGTCCTTTTCTGAGGAGACAATCTTTTTCCCTTCTGCATTCTCATCTGATAAGACACGTCCAATTTAAGAAATGCATTTCTTTTATCTGACAGGTCTTTCTGATGTATTCTAATGTATTTCTGATGTAGAATCTAGGTCAGGGGTGTCGAACTCGATTTCATTGAGGGCCGCATCAGGGTTATGTTTGAGCTTGGGGGGCCAGGGTGGGCGTGGCCAGGGTGGGAATTGCCGGCTCTATGTCATTCATGTGAAAGGAGCCTTGGTGGCGCAGCGGACTAAAGTGCTGTTAAGTAGCACTTAGCTGCCAGCTACCAGCAATTACTGCAAGTTCAAATCTCACCATGCTCAAGGTTGACTTCCATACTTCCGAGGTAGGTAGAATGAGGACCCGGATTGTGGGGGCAATAAGCTGACTTTGTATATAAAAAACACCGCTTAGGGAGGTCCAAAAGCCCTACTAAGCAGGTATATACTTGCCTTGGTAGTACAGTGGTCTAAGGCACCCTGTTATTAAGCTGGTTATTAAAACCAGATGCCTTCAATTACTGCAGGTTCGAATCTTTCCAAGGCTCAAGGTTGACTCAGCCTTCCATCCTTTCTAAGGTAGGTAAATTGAGGGCCCAGTAGTGGGGGCAATAAGCTGACTTTGTATAAATATACAAAAGTATGAAGGCTATTGCTTAACACATTGTAAGCCGCCCTGAGTCTCCGGAGAAGGACGGCATATAAATCGAACCAATAAATAAATAAACAAATAAACAAACAAACAAACAAACAAACAAATAAATAAATGTATGTATGTCAGGGGTGCCTGTGGCAGCCTGAATGCTCTGCCAGAGAAAACAGGCTCCCAAGCTCTGTTTTTGGCTGTAACAGACTCCTGTGATCCTCTGCCAGTGAAAATGGAGCTCGCATGTGGCCCTCCCAAGCTCCATTTTTGCTGGCAGGGGCATCATGGGCCGGTCCTTCGCTGTTTCCAGGGTGGCCCCACTGGCCAGATCTGGCCCCCGGACCTTGAGTTTGATATTCCTGTCTAGAGGGATACCAAACACATTTCCAAATATTGTTGGGTTATATATGTCATATAACCTAGGACCTAGACTAGGGGTGTCAAACTTGATTTCATTGAGGGCCACATCAGGGTTGTGTTTGATCTCGGGGGGGATTGGGGTGGCATAGCCATGGTGGGTGTGACCATGGTAGGCGTGGCCAGCTCAACTTCACTCGTGTCGGGGACACCTGTGGTGGCCAAGACAGGACTTCCTTTAGACCTTCTCTCATTCTCATTATAATCTTTCCTTCCTTCCTTCCTTCCTTCCTTCCTTCCTTCCTTCCTTCCTTCCTTCCTTCCTTTCTTTTTCTTCCTTCCTTCCTTTCTTTCCCTTCATTCCTTCCTTTCTTTCCCTTCATTCTTTCTTCTTCCTACCCATCTTTCCTTACCTTTCTTTCTTTGATCTCTTCCCATTTTCCCATCTTTTTCTTTGTCTTTCCTCTTTCCCTTTCTCCTTTCCTGTCCCTTCTTGCATGCTCAAATGCAAAAGGGGAAACATTTCTCCTTTTGTTTTGTTAGCCCTCTGCCAGCAAAAATGGAACCTGTGGATGCACGCGCCCCCCCCCACCCCCAGTTCCATTTTCACTGGCAGAGGCACTGTGGGCCAGTCCTTTGCTATTTCCAGGGCGGCCCTGCGGGCCAGATTTAAGCATCTTGAGGGCCAAATCCAGCCCACAGCCTTTGAGTTTGATACCCCTGGCCTAGATCCTTCAAAATGCAGAATCCCACTATCCTTAAACACCCACACTGTGCCCAGATTCCAGTACCATGTTTTGTTTTTACTCTCAATGCTCAAACTATTTTTCTTTCATTAAATCGATTCTTCCACATCTATTATCCAATTCATCACAAAGAATTTGTAGCCATCACAAACCTTATGCTTGAGTTCTATTGTATGAAAGTATGACAGTAATATAGTTTTTCTTCTGTTTTTCTGCTATTTGACATGCAATGTTATAGCTATGTATTCCCTCCCCAGTAATGCTCCTTCCCTTGAGATCCTTCGCCCACATGCTTACATGGTTCCTGCTTATTTTACATCAGCTTTCTCCAATCTGATGTTTCCCCCCTATTCTCTGTATTGCCTAAATCTTTTGCAGACAGAGCTCAGTCTGCCCTCTCAGACCTCAATTTGAAAAATGTTATTGTGAGAGTAATATAGTTAGAGATGGAAGGAGTTGTTGGAAGGAGAAATATGTGATCACATTTGTTAAGTTGCTGCCTTTTTCAGACATTGCCCAAATGAAATCTATTGAGCAAGTCACACAATTGTGGGTTGAGGTTCCTGTATTTGGAAAGAATTTAAGGTCAGATCTATCCATCCACAGGTGAGCTTCCTTTGTCCTAACATATTTATATTGCCTAAAATAATCAACTAATGCTAAATGCCTCTTCTGCTTTCTGTGCAAAGTTTTTAAAATGTAAATTACTGCTCCTGAATCAGTTCCTAGGATCCTGACTTGGAAATTTCTTCTATTCTCTTATACTTTGGTGATTTGGGATCCATTGATGAGGGAATCAGACTTGTGATTGTGATTTTTGTGGGGAAATTTGGAGGGCAGAAAGTGAGAGGAAGACGACTCTAGGAAATGTTGGGAGTGGGCTATAAGAGGGGGAGGGCAAAAAAAGCAAGAGGGGTCTGGGAGACAAGATGGATAATATGAAGGTCATTGCTGGTGGGATGAGGCTCACACCCAAGGCCACCTGAGAGGTGACATGGGGTTGGATCCAGGTGGTGGTAACCTGACTCCTTGAGAATTTCACCAATCTTGAAAGAGGTTTGATGTACAATACCCCCTTCTCAAAAAAACATTGCTGGTCCCAACAGTCCTGACTAATTTTCATTCGGTCTCCAACTTTCTCCTTTTAGGGAAAGTTTTTGAGAAGGTGGATGGGATGCTGTTCCAGAAAACCCTGCAGAAAAGGAATTAAAGTCCATTCTTTTTAGCTGGGTTTGGCACCAATGCATGGTAGTGAGACAGCATTGTGGTCATACTAGTGGATGTGGCTTCTGGTGGACCTGGGACAGGTTGTACCTCTCATGCTGGTTCCCCTTGATGTCAGTGGAGGAAGTTTTGTGGAAATGTTAGAAAAGCTCAGAACAGCTACAAAACTGGCAGTTGGTATGAGCAGAATGGGAGTTTGAAGACAAAGTTTCTAATTTATAAGGCAGTGATGGCTAACCTTTTCCGGACCAAGTGCCCAAAGCGTGCGCGCATGTACATGTGAACCCCCAAAATGCAATGCATGTGGGGCCCCATACATGGCCTGGCCCTGTGCATGTATGTGCAGCTCCATGTATGTGCAGCCCCATGCATGTGCGCATGGCCATGTGCATATGCCCCGTGCATACGTGTGTGGCCCCCTGCATGCACCCTGCCCCCCACATGTGTGCGTTCCCCTCGCATGTACTTCACCCCCGCACATGTGCACATGCCCCCTGCATGCACTCATCCCCTGTGCATGCACGGCAGACCAGCTGGCCAGTGGGAGGCACACACACATGCACGATGGAGCTGAGCTGGGGCGACTGCTTGCATGCCCACAGATAAGGCGCTGCTTGCCACCTCTGGCACACTATGCCATCACTGTCATAAGGTCTTTCAGAGCTAGGTGCTCTCATCCCTTCGGTTTAACATTTATCTGAGGCCATTGGTTGGTTCAGGTCAGGAATCATCAGCATGTTGTTAATATCCGGTTGTACATCTCAACCCCGGCTTATTCCAATGATGATTCTGGCAAAGTTTAGTCTTCGTGTCTGGAGGCTATGAGGGTCTGGATGAGGAGGAACTGACTCAGCAAGTTTGAATGGTTGCTGGTATTTGGGGCCTCCAATTCCTGAAACATTGGGGTTGCATTTTCCATTTTGGTGCTCAATTTGGGCATCTTCCTGGAGTCACAGCTCCTGCTTGAAGATCAGACAACAGCAGTGGCCAAGAAGACCTTTGCCAGGTCCATTTTTGAGCACTAGTTGCACCCATTCATGGACTGGGATGTTTTTCAGACACACATTCATGCCCTCATTGCCTCACATGTGGATTTATATGAATTCTAGATTTTTTGGGGGGCGGATAGCAGATTCATGTAACCTTGTGCAAAATTGTCCAGTTTGCAAAAATAGATATAGTTTGTCAAATACACAACTTTTTGGAGCTTTACCAGAGCTTCTGAATCTTGTCCACCAAAGTGAATTAAGAACAAAATGGCTTTCAAGAATATTTCTTTCAGTTTATCAAAAAGGAGTTTCCATTATCTGCTTTTGTTGTCTTACAAATACACTGGTTTGCTGTAGTATTATTAGCAGTCGTTGTGTTCAAAAGATTAACCTTGAATTGTGAATGTGTGTAAATTACAATTATAGAAAGTAGAAAGGAAGGAAGGAAGGAAGGGAGGGAGGGAGGGAGGGAGGGAGGAAGAAAGAAAGAAAGAAAGAAAGAAAGAAAGAAAGAAAGAAAGAAAGAAAGAAAGAAAGAAAGAAAGAAAGAAAGGTCTTTCTTTTTGAAAGCAGCAATTGAAGAGCTGCCCCTAAATTCCGTTCACTTGGTTTGACAGTTATTGTGTTAATAATCATCCTAGGTTTTCTTTTTCTTTCTGTAAAAGAATATTTTCTAAAAATATAACTTCAAGATGGTACCTCTATTTTCAAGAGGACATAAATGTCCATATTACCAACAAGACTGTGAAGCAGTTATACAACTAGATTGTTTTACAGTTGTTGATGAAATTCTTTCTCTCTGTGTGTGTGCCTTTTGAAGCATTAGCAAATATTTCTAACATAAGGACTGAAAATTGGGTATTTTATGTTGCGGTCCTCTGCTGTGAAGCTGGCAGCAGAGTCGGACAGTGAGGAGGTTGAGGAGGAACATGGACCAGTCCTGGAGTCTGGGGAAGGTTCGGATGAGGGCATCATCAGAGACAGAGAAAGGGCCATCTGGGAGGTATGTGCTGCCTCCGGAGGCTCCAGAGTCAGACCTCAGCGAGGCAGAGGAACAGGGCAAGCCTGTTTCCAGTGCTCACATGCGCAGAGCTGCCAGAAGGCAAGAACAGCTAAAACAAAAGGGATGACTCGGGAGTAAGGCTGGGAGATGATTGGCCCCTCCCATAAGACTTAAAAGAGGAGCAAAGGCACGTGGGCCTTTGCAGGAAGCAACGTTTGTTCATTCTGTTCAGTTTAAAGTCTGAAGCTCTGTTTGATTCTGGACTCCATGTGGCTTTGCCAATTAGGTCTTTGGCAGTGTGTCAAGGGAGATAAAGATGGGTGATTATCCTGAAGGACTTCTCCCAAAGGACTCTTTATAACTAATTTGGACTCAGCTGTGAATGAACAGAATTCACAGCTGTTGCAATAAAAAAGGTGTTGCAATATTTTCTGGATCAGACTCAATAAGTTATGAGAGAGTTAAGAGTTCAAATATATTTTCTTTTATTTACATAAGGCATTCTATATTCACTGAATATTCACAGATAGAAGCAAAGAAGAGAGTGTGTGTGGCTCCTTATATATACAATGGGTGGAGCTAGATATGGGAGTGGTGAAGTATGAATACATTAAGAAGTGAAGAATAAATTAACCCCTGACATCCCGTTCATATACTATTTACACATTAGAGAATAAGGCATTTACTTGTGACAAGAGGTTTTTGGGATTACTCGTGTGTTTTAATGACTCAGGAAGCCTAGGTCAGAACATTTTATTAGTTTCAAAAGCAGTTGCAGAAGGACTAATGTTTGCTGCAGTGGTGAAATCCTCAGTGGATTGCTACTGGTTCGCTGCCCACGCATGTGCGGTGTGCACCAAACATGCACTGCACGCACACATGCACAGTGTGCGCCAAAAGCATGCTCCCCGTGCACAAGCACAGCATGTGCCAAAAGCATACTGTGCACACATGTGCACTGCGTGCCAAATGCACGCTTCGCACGCAAAAAGACGACTTCACAAGGTAAGTAGAACTGGGGGGGGGGGGAACAGCTGTGCCTCGTGATTTAGCTTTCAAGCGAATATAAACTGCATGGCACAGCTGATCGTCAGAAATACCGGTTCAGATTTCTCAACCATGGCAACTTTAAGATGTGTGGACTGTGACTCCCAGAATTCCCCAACCAGCAAACCAGGGGTGAAATGCTACTGGTTTGCACTGGTTCGGGAAAACCGGTAGCTTTTTTTTATTACCGGTTCACGTGAACCAGTAATTTTTATCACTACTGGTTCTCCCGAACCGGTGTGAACCAGTAGCATTTCACCCCTGGTTTGCTGGTTGGGGAATTCTGAGAGTCATAGTCCACACATCTTAAAGTTGCCATGGTTGAGAAACACTAAGACAGAAGGTCAGGGTAAACCATGTCTAGGCACTTGCTGTAGATAGTTGACTTTCCTAATGAACGTAAGAATGCTTGAATCAACCATTCTTGCGCCACCATATCAATACTCCTCTTCAGAATCATTATTTGTTCCTCAAACATCAATCTCTTTTTGAGAATTGCATCCATTCCATGACTTTCTCAGTCTTTCCCGTCTTCTCCCCACACTCAACCTTAGCTCTTAGATTTGTTTTGCAATTCAATGCTCATTTATCCTCTCGGTGTGACCAAACCACCTCACTGTGTCCTTCCTTCATAGTGTCCACTCACTTGAATATTCAATCAGTCTACATTCAGTCAGCATCTGTTTCTTCTTGACCGTGTCACATTCTTCATTTTAATCATGCCTCCTTCCTCCAGTAAATAAATTATTCCCGCTGCATTCACTTTACATTTCTTCTGACATATCCAAGTTTCACTTTCATGAGACACAGTGGCTAAATGCATGCTGTGATGCACAACCATTTTAACTTATTTTGACAAACATTCATTCCTTGCATACATATGCTACTTATTTTCTATTAGCATTTCTGCATCTTAAAATGTTCCCATCCATTTTCCTCTTTTTACTAATTATTTTACCAAGCTACACAAATTCATCTAAATGCCCTAATTTTTCTTTATTTATATATTACTTGCAGTTACTTACTCCTTTTTTCCTGTCAAGCACAACTACTTTGGTTTTGGTACATTAGTTTTCAGTTGCATTTGTACTATCTCACATCCACTGCACATCTGCCAGATTCCCAGTCAACAACATAACATCATCTTTGTGGACCTCTGGAGGAAGAAATGGTGGACTGAAGATGACCAGAGGAAAGAATGAAGAACTGGCAAGCAGAATAACTCATTAAAGCTGTCTGGATAAGGAAAGGACCTGAGATCACCCACAAATCCTCCAGACAGTTGCTCCTCATGAGGTGACTGCAAGGTAAAATTCTCTGGTGAGGTTAGAGCTCTGGGAGGTGAGGGAATAGCCATCTTGCTCAAGCCATGGTTGGCACTTTGAAAGTACAGTGGGTTTGCATACATCCTTTCACAATCACTTTCAGAAATGACTTGTTAACTGCTTTTCAGCTATTAGGAATCTTTGGATTGACAGGTTTTATACTATTGCTTGAGTGTCCTTCAGTTCCAGTAGTGGGATTCAAATCCCGTCACTACCGGTTTGCTCGTGGGTGCTTGCACGCTTGAGCGTGATGGTTTTGCACATGCACAGAAGCTTCTGTGCATGCGCAGAGATGTTCGGGCAGGTGGGCGGAGCTTCCGACCACTGTTCAGTTCTTAGTGAAAAAAGTTTTAACTACAAGTTTAAGAACATTTATATACACACAGAGAGACAGAAACAGAGAGAGGGGGAGGGAGGGAGGGAGGGAGGGAGGGAGAGAGAGAGAGAGAGAGAGAGAGAGAGAGAAATGAACAGCAAATGGGTGACTAAAACTTTGATTCTAGAAGGTTACAAATGGACTAAAGGAAGGTCCAAATAAATCTGAAACAAGATTTTGGAATTAATTATAAGAATCCTTCCTGCGGGAAAATGCTTTGGTTTTGATTTAAAGAAAAACATAATAAAACAAGATTTTTAAAAACGAACAATAGATGGAACTAGAGTACAATTCAGGGAGAAGGACACATACACTTGACTTATAGAATGAAGCCAAATGTTCTAACATTACAATGCAGCTACCGAAATACATTTTTTGAAAAATGGATTCTGAAGTTAATATTAGCAATGTCAACAGAAACACCTAACTCTGTGGAGGAATTGTGTCTAGAAGATGTTATGGAAGAAGAACAGGTTTTACCTGGCAAGATGAAGGCTGGATTGAATGTGAGATTACAAATGACATCACTACAAGAATGACGTGGAAAAAGATGTTACATTGGACATATCAAAGAAATCAGATGATGTTTTAATAATTAATAATTTAATAATAATTAAAAGAGAGAAACAAATAACAAACCCAGAGAGTGACCTGGATAATTTTCCCTATATTATATTTACTAAGAGACTTGCTAAAATTTTGAAGACTGTCGGGAGAAGCAACAAAGAAAAAAAAATGGAAAGAAATTTATTTTTAAGCATGCAGGACAAATTACCCTCTGGTTGTTTCTGCACTCACTACTGTTGTGGCTTTGCTCTTTATATAAAGACACAATAATGGCATTTTCTGCATTAGGGAGGGAGAAAGGCATCGTGGCCTGCCTCCTTTTAGAAATGCTCATCCAGTTAGACTATCCACACCTGTGGCCTGAATATTCTTTTTTTAACATCTGACCACATGAATGGCATCCTTTCTCCAGCACCAATATTTATAGCGTTTGTTTCAAGTCTCCTTTTCCACATATCAAATCATTCCTAGATAGATCTCCAAAAAAATCTCCTTCTAGCACTGCCAAAATTCAATTTCATCCCATGTCATTTTATTTGGTGTGAGGCAGCACTTCATCTCTTTTGTTACGTCCATTCGTTTTGCTGAGAGATTCACCTTTCTTCTAATATTTTTAGAATCCAGGATCACAAAATGATCTGTTCCAGTTTAAAAAAGAACTCTTAGAGCTGATTAGAGGACTGGAAGCTGAAAGATACAAAGAACGGTTGCAGGATTTGAGTATCCTGGTTTAGAGAAAAGAAGGACTAAGGGAGACATGATCGCAGTGTTCCAGTATCTGAGTGGCTGCCACAAAGAAAAGGGGGGGGGGCAACCTATTCTCCAGAGCACCTGAAGGGGTGAAATCCTACTGGTTCGCACCGGTTCAGGCGAACCGGTAGCAGCGGTGGCGGGTGCTCCGGAGAAGCGGTAGCGGCGGCAGCGTGAGGCTCCGCCCACCCACCCAGACACCATTAAAACCAGGAAGTAATCTGTTTTTTACCCTCTCAGCATGCACATAAGGCTTTGCGCATGTGCAGAGGGTCCAAAATCACACGTGACACAGGCGGCGCATGCACTTCCAAACCGATAGGGAAGGCAAGTAGATTTCCCCCCTGACCTGTAGGCAGGACAAGAAGCAATGGATGGACGCTTATCAAGGAGAGATCCAACCTAGAACTAAGTAAAAATATCCTCACAGCAAAAACAATCAGTGGAACAACTTGCCTCCAGATGTCATGGGTATTCCAACACTGGAGGTTTTTAAAAAGAGATTGGATAACCATTTGTCTGAAATGGTATAGGGCAGGGGTGTTTGATTAGACTTTAATTGAGGGCCACATCAGGATTGTGTTTGACCTTGGAGGGGCCAGGGGGAGTGGCCAGGGTGGGCGTGGCCAGCTCGCTGTCACTCATGGAGGCTCCGTTTTTGGCTGTGATGGCCTCCTGCAGCCCTCCACCAGTGAAAATGGAGTTCGGGAGGGAGGGGCCTCCTTCCTGACCTCTGTTTTCACTGGCAGAGGGCTGCAGGAGGCTGTCACAGCTGAAAATGGAACCCAAGAGGCCTGCACATGCCCTCCCAAACTCCATTTTCACTGGCAGAGGGCTGCAGGAGGCCATCACAACTGAAAACAGCGCTCAGGAAGTCTGCACGTAGCCCTCCTGAGCTCCATTTTGTCTGGCAGAAGCAACGTGGGCTGGTCCTTCGCTGTTTCCAGGGTGGGCCTCTCTCTATAAGGCATCAAATCAATTGTGCTTTTAGTTTCTTCCCTTCTTTTAGGTATCTATGTAAATAAATAAGAACTCAAAATGCATGTTCAAAACAGGCATTTTACAGGCAGTGACTCACAGAATTTGAGTCTCTGAATGTCCCAGTGTTTTTTTCCTGTATTTTTAAAAATCTCATTCTCATCCATCCATTCATGTAATCTAATCAGATGCTTTCCTCGCCACTGGATGTTATTCATTCAAAATGTTGCACGTTTTTCCAAACCTATCTCTGCTTTTTCTATTGTCACTTTTCATTGGAGTGTAACTTTTCAACTATCAGCAAATTATGAATTCCTATGTTTATGTACAACCCCAAGTTTTCTCACCCTGTTTTATGCAAACTAGGGACTTTAATCTAGAGACTTTAATCTAGAGACAATCTTGTAAAACAACATCCTGAAATCTAGGAGATACTTGCATTATAAGGACACATTCAGGATAAAATTCTGGATAAATATTACATATTTAATACCAACTTTTAGATAGATTAATTCTATCTCTCCCCTTTTAGTTCAGCTTTTGGCTAAAGCAGAATTATTTATTCAGACTAGACATAAGTAAAAAAAAAAAAAAAGAATTGGCCATTTTAGATAGCTCAAATGTTTTCAGTGTAAATTGCTCCTTTGATGCTGTTCCTAATCTAATGTTTTTAATACTTTATAGTTCATGTTCTGCAGATGTTTATGGCAAAAAATGCTGACCTTTTCTCCAAGCTTGTAAAATACTCTTGCATCAAGCACAGTAGTGTATATTTTCCAGAGATATATAGGTGTAAAATGTTTTAAATGATATACTTTCCCCCATGAATAAATACAGTGAAACTCAAAAAAATTCTGGGAAAACAATTATCAAACCACAAAGGCAACTGAACTATTGAGAAAGATTTCGATGTTTGAGCTTTTCAGTCTAGAAAAAGGTAAATAAGGAGTTTATTTATTAAAGGCGGTGAACTGTGGTTGTGAGGACAATTAAGGGGAAGAAACAAGGTGCCATGAGCTGCTATGCAAGTGAAAAGATTATAAATTCAATTCAAATCAAATAACTATATTGTGGCCATTAACCAGTAGAAAGAGAAAAGAGGAGAACATAGTTTTTAAATATCCAGAACATTCAGTACTAAATAAGGACTGATATATAAATACGTTTCTTACCTTTTTTTTGACCGAAAAGTTCAAACAACAAAAACGTTCTTAATAGGTGAGTTGCTTGTGTGGTTTGAGAATAGAATAGAATAGAATAGAATAGAATAGAATAGAATAGAATAGAATAGAATAGAATTCTTCATTGGCCAAGTGTGATTGGACACACAAGGAATTTGTCTTGGTGCATATGCTCTCAGTGTACATAAAAGAAAAGATACATTTGTTAAGAATGATAAGGTACAACACTTAATGATAGTCATAGGGTACAAATAAGCAATCAAATCATTCTAGGAAACAGTCAATATAAATCATAAGGATACCAGCAACAAAGTTATAGTCATACAATCATAAGTGGGAGGAGATGGGTGATAGGAACGAGAAGATTAATAGTAATGCAGACTTAGTAAGTAGTTTGACAGTGTTGAGGGAATTATTTGTTTAGCAGAATGATGGCATTTGGGGAAAAACTGTCCTTGTGTCTAGTTGTTCTGGTATGCAGTGCCCTATAGCATAGTTTTGAGGGTAGGAGTTTAAACAGTTTATGTCCAGGATGCGAGGGGTCTGTAAATATTTTCACAGCCCTCTTTTTGACTTGTGCAGTATACAGGTCCTCAATGGAAGGCAGGTTGGTAGTAATTGTTTTTTTCTGCAGTTCTAATTATCCTCTGAAGTCTGTGTCTGTCTTGTTGGGTTGCAGAGCCAAACCAGACAGTTATAGAGGTGCAGATGACAGACTCAATAATTCCTCTGTAGAACTGGATCAGCAGCTCCTTGGACAGTTTGAGCTTTCTGAGTTGGTGCAGTTGGAACAGTCTTTCTTTCTAATTGTTTTCCCAGAATATTTTTGAGCTTTACTATATTTACCTTATTCATGGGGGAAAGTTTATCATTCAAAACACAGCAAACATGAATGACACGGTGATATATCCTTATTATAGATATTTTCTCTCAAGAGAGATTGGGGTCAGGATCATCCTTCAGATGATAGGGAGGTCGGCAGAATCAAAGAGATTGGACAAAGGTTGCCCTGTAAAATGCCCATCCAACTGATACTCCAACATTAAATGCTTTAAAGCGATGGAGTCTCT